AAGAAAGGCTGGGCAACCCAACTCCAAAAATTAATCTTTACTGGCACAGAGAGGTTTGTTGGGTGGGGCGAGGCGGGGAGGAACTGCCAAATTTCCAAAAGGATGGTATCATTTTGCATTCCTACCATGAGTAAATTGCTCTGCATTCTCGCCAGCATTTAGTATTGACATATTGTGTCCCCCACCACCATTTTAGTCATTCTAATAGGTGGGTCAGTCTGTCATCGTGTGGTGACTTGCATGTTGCTGTGATGCTGGAAGCTATGCACCCAGCATTTCAAATACTAGCAGGATCACCCATGGAGAACAGGTTTTAATGGAAGCTTCAGACTAAGAACAAATTAGGATGAAGAAATAGGCAGTCCACTTTGGAAAGATTAGCCATTAAAACCTTTGTGCACAGTACCATAATATTATCTGATAGAGTGCCAGAAGATGAGCCCTTCAGGTTGGAAGATATTCAAACCAACTGGGAAAAACCTGGCTCCTCAAAATAGAGTCAGCGTTAATGATATGGGTGAGCAAAACTTTCTGGGCCTTCATTGTTATTACTCAAAATGAGAAGAAGAATCAGAACGTTGAGTTCTTAAAGTATGAATGTAGGCAAATTAGAAATGGCCAGAAATGAAATGGAAAGCATAAAGACCAAGAGCCTTAGCATTCGTGAGCGGAAGTGCACAGATATCGGCCATTCTGAATTGGACAATCATATGGATGACTATGCCAGGAATGACAAAATCAAGAGGAATGGCAGTGCATTTTATCATCAAAAAGACCACTTCAGGATCTGTATAGAAGTAGAGTGTTGTCTGTGATCGGATAGCATCTATATGCCTACAAAGAAGACCAGGTCAATACCTGTTATTCAAATTGATGAAGAATTTTACCAACTTCTTCAATCTGAAACTGATCAAACATGCAATCAAGATGCATTTTTAATTGCTGGTGATTGGAATGAGAAAGTTGGATGCAAAGAGGAATAGTTGGAAAATATGGTCATGGTGATAGAAAGGAAACTGGAAATCACAAGGTAGGATTTTGCAAGACCAATGACTTCTTCATTGCTAATACCTTATTCAACAACATAAACAACAACTGTTTAGGTGCATCGTGCCAGATGGACTACTAAGGAATCAAATTGATTATATCTGTGGGAAGAGAATGGAGAAGATCACTATCATCAGTCATAAGACCAGGGCCAACTATGGAAAAGACCATCAATTATTTAGATGCAAGTTCAGGTTAAAGTAAAAGAAAATGCAAACAAGAGCCAAAATGCACCTTTGACTAGACCCCACCTGAATGTAGAGACTATCTCAAGAGCAGATGCAACACTAATGACCAAAGACCAAATGAGTTGTGGCATGACATCATCAAGAACATCATGCAGGAAGAAAGCAAAGGTTCATTAAAGAGAGGAAAGAAAGAAATGACCAAAGTAAATGTCGGAGAAGACTGACATTTGCTCTTGAATATGGAGTAGCTAAAGTGAATGGAAGTTTCCAATTTTAATAAAACCTATTTATTATTATTTCTCATTCTTAGATTGGGGTTTTCATGGTGTGTTTAAAAATGTATCACAAACCCCGCGATTTCTAGCTATATAGTCCAAATAATTGTCAGCCAGGGCTTAAACAGGTATCTGAACACCAAGGCTCATTGTAGCATTATTCACAATAGCTAAAAAAGTTCAAACTGTGTCTATCAGTAGATGAATAAACAAAATGGGATATAAACATACAATAGGCCATAAAAAGGAATGAAACTTTAATATCTGCTACAACATGAATGAAATACAAAAACATTAAACTATGTGAAATAAGCCAGGCATAAAAGAACACGTTTTGTATGATTCTTATGAAACAGCTGGAATAGAAATTTTACAGAAAGCAGATTTGATGTTCTCAGGGGCCGGAACGGGTAGAAAGTAGGAGTGATTATTTAGTGGGTACAGAGTTTCTGTTTGGGATGGAAAACAAACAAACACAGTAATATTTGTACAATATTACAAATATAATTAATGCAAGAGAATTGTATACTTATTAATGGTTAAAACAGCAAATTTCATGCCATATATTTTACCACCATTCTAAAAAAGGAAACAAAGCAAAAACATTTTATCATCAAATAAAGATCCATTAGATTTCATCCTATGCTATCTTTTAGAAATTTTAGACTTTGTGTTTTATATTGGACTCTAAGATCAATTTCAAGTTCATTTAGAGTTAATTTTGATCTGCTACAATTTGACTATGATACACCCAGGTAAAGATTTTTTGGTATTGCCCCGCTTGGCATTTTCTAAGTCTTCAATATTTGAATTAAAATTATTTTAAATTTTTTAGTAATTCTAGAATCTGTGTCCTATCTGGGGCTGGTTCTGCTGTGCGCTTTGTCTCTTCAGACTGTGTCTCTTGCCTTTAGCATGCCTGGTGATTTTTGGTTGAAAACTAGACATTCTGTATCAGGTAATAAGAACTGAGGTCTTTTCACTCGAGGTTTTCCATCTAGGCACCAGGCTGCATTTAATGCTTGTGTGGTATTACTGCCGGCCTTTAGTTTCCTTTTTTGGGTGTGAATTCCTTAGGGTTTTCAACAGACCAGATTGTGTCATCTGTGATTAAAGGCAATCTTATATTTCTTTTTGGTTCAGAGTGTCTTTACTTTCACTGGCTGCCCGGCTGACTGCCTGGAACTTCGACCGTGGCAGGGAAAGGTAAGAACAGACACACCGGCCTTGTGCCGAGTTTTACAGGGAAAACACTCACCCTTTCATCGTCAAGTGTGATGCTGCCTGTAGGTGTGTGGACATAAATGCCCTCTCTCAGGTTTGAGTAAGTTTCCTACTTTTCTCATTATTAAGGTGTTTTTCTTTCATGAGTGAGTGTTGGAATTTGGTCAAATGCTCTTTTGTTTTTAACATGTATCATGCCATTAAATAGTTCAATCATATCAGCAATTCGTTTTAGAACATTTTCTTCTTCCTTGTACTCATTGTTATTCATGTAACTAAAAAGTGTGTCAAATGTATGTATCTGTTTAGATAATTGTTGAGTTTTGTCTTTATTTTATTAATAGTATATTAAATTAATTACTTTTTGTATGCTAAATTAACCATGTTGTCCTGGAATAAATCCTACTTGGTCAGGATATATAATAATTTTATCTGTGGCTGAAATAGTTTCCTAATATTTACAGATTTTTGTGTCTTTGTTTATAAGGATATTTGTTTGTGGTTTTCTTGTTGTGTTTTTATCTGGCTTTATTGTATGGGTGGTACTGGTTCATATAATGAGTTGAGAAATGTTCCCAACTCTTGTGTATTTCTGAAAAAGTTTGAAAAATTGGTATAATTTCTTAAAATATTCAACAGAATTCTCTAGTGAAGCCATCAGGCCTGGATTTTTCTTTATTGGAAGATTTTTAAAATTAGTTTACATTGAAATATTTTAAATTTAAGTTAATATTTTAAATTAAATTTCTCAACTTGTTATAGGTCTACACATATTTATATTTCTTCGTGAATTAATTTTGATAATTTCTGTCTTCCCGGGATTTGTCTATAGTATTTAACTTGTCTAATTTACTGTAATAAAGTTTATATATTTTTATATACCTTCTTTCATTCTTGCTTTTGCTAATTTGAGTTTTATCTCTTAAGTTATTGGCCCTTCGATCTAAGGGTTTGCCCGTTTTGCTGATCTTTTCAAACAGCTCAGGAATCTTGGTGGTTCCGTGGGTTATGGGTTGGGTTGCAAACGATAAGGTTGGCAGCTCTAATCCATCAGCTGTGTTGCAGGAGCAAAATGAGGCTGTCCGCTCCCATAAAGATTTACAGTCTCAGAAATCCTAGGGAGCAGTTCTACTCAGTCCTATAGGGTCGTTATGAGTCTGGATTGAATCAATGGCAGTGGGTTTGTGTTTCAGTTTAGGAGAAACATCTGTGTACAGGTTTTTGTATGGGATGCATTGTGAAGAGGCGTGTTTACATCTCTAGCCATGGACCAAGTACTTGTACTAAGAAAAGCAGAGACTGACGTTGGGTGTACATGCTGGTGTGTCTGGCTTTCTGTGTGTGCTGCCAATCCAAGCTCCTAGATGTTTACAAATAATCCTTGCTTTTAAAAGGGGCCAGAATATCTGAGTCAACTCTGAAGTCCTCGTTCTCCCCTACATGTTTCAACCCTCCCTGGCTTTATGCCTCGCCTTCTGTTGTGAACCACACACAGTGTAAGCGAGCCTGGCAGGGTGGGAAATGAGCCGTGATATTCATGCCCAAAGATTCCAGTGCACATTTACATGGACAGTGGGGATTTCTATTATGCCTCTGGAATGAAAGGAGAAGTGATACATGTCATTTTGGGATTCAAGAAAATCAACAGTAAAACCCAACTCTTAAATTGATGGGGGTGGTGGGGCGGTGGTGGTGATTCATCAATCAATGGATGTGATGATATCCAAATGTCACTTTGGTTAGGAGAATCATCCCACATAAATGCCCATTTTTCTCTCCTTTGGGTCTCAGACCTTTCACCCCCCACTGCAGTGCATCTGTAAAGACAAGCATGTGGTGAGCCAGACAGCTGTTCCCAGCGTTCCCTCATCATATTCCTAGAGGCCCATCCACTCTTGGCCTTTCTCTGTGATGGCCATTTCCCACTGGCTCTCCTTGGGCCGGAAAAGGTTAGGAAAATGCTTCTTCCCCAATCTTCATTCTAAAAATGAATCTGAACACTGTCTGTTAGCTAAAAAGTCAGAGCTTGGGTACATTCCTTTTCAACCCTGTTACCTCATTCTGGAAAAAAGATCCAGCGAGCTAAAGGCTGGAGTTAAATATAAGAAACCATAGGGGTAAAGAATATTCTCCAAGGATAATGGGTACCCGAATCAGGCTAAGAGACAAGAGAGACAGTACTTGAGTAAAAGTTGGCCTGCCTTTGCCAAATAAAAGTGCATGTGGCATACCCAGGGATTCTTTGACGAGACAAGATAGTCTGTACCTGCTTGTTGAAATATCCTCAAAGGGGTAGAGGATCTCTCCATTGTTACAGATTTCGCAGATGAACCCCTTCTGGCTACACAGACTGCAGCTGTACACGTGGGAGGTGGCAAACTTAATGACCTTGCTCAAGAACGGAGCCAGCTTTCCCTCTATCACCTGCAGAAAGAGAAAGGGGACAGGGAAGCAAATTCACTGAGCACAGAAGTCTTGCAGATGCAGGAAGACAGGAATCCCTTCTCTGCACACAACAGGAAAACCTCTAATTATAATTTCTCAGCAATTCTGAGAAAGCAGAAACAGAATACTTTAGCTCTGAAAGAATTCTCTGGTTTAAACCGTTGGAGAGTGGAAAGTGAAGATTCTGGCAGTGGCATTGCCACAACGGTTGGTGTCTCCCAGTGCACTAACTCTGCGTTACCTCTGTCCCAGCATGCATCTCCTCCCTTCCCAGACCATACAGGATGCTCACTAGTCTTCATGATCAAGTTTAATAATAATGTGACACCTACAGTTTCAAAGTGCTTAAATGTAGTATTTCATAGATAATAGGAAAACAACAAAATTGTTTTGTGAAATCTTTCTACGTGGAATCACAACATTATGAGTTATGATATTATTAGCAATGGAAAGGCTTTAAAAGGTTTCCTCTTTCTTTTCCTTTTATTACTACTTGATAGATACAAAAAAGGTTTTGATACAGGGTCACAAATACTAATTAGCAGAATATTGGACTACTGGAACATCAGAAAATTTGAAAAGATCAAAGATTTTAAAAACACCAGTATCAAGGAAAATAGTGCATTTCTGGAGCATGTGCAGACAAAACCACGTAATTTGAAGCATCATTGTCACTGGACATGAATGTCAGTTCAGACTACAGTGCACTAGAAGGTGCAAAACGTGCAAAACTAACACAGCGATTTTGGCCTTGCAGATATATTGTGAGATGTGAATTGAGCCTATGGAAAATGTTTTGTTGCTATGACTGACCAGAGGGATGCTTTAATAAACAAGCATAAATTTCTGCTGAAACAGGGCACACAATTTTTTAGACAGTCATTTAGGTGTCACTCCCTCTGACAGTATCACCTGGTGCAGCCACCACCTGCTTGGCTTTGGTGCTGTGCTGTAAGGGACTGAGGACCGAGACCGGAGGACTCCTGCTCTCAAGGCTGCAGGGATGGTGCGGGGTCAGAGAAGTGCAGTGTATTTCTCCAGGTAGATTCCAAACATAAGGGTGGATGTTGATGTCGAATCTTGTTTAGAGAATTCACCACTTCCCTCAATGAACATAGAGGAGATGTAAATATTTATTAGTGTTATTTCTTGCTTTTGGTGAGTACAAAGTTCAAAGTGCAAAACCAGGCCTAAATGCCACCATGGTGATGGACTGCTTGCTCTTTTCCTCAGAGGCGGGGCGGGACGGGAGACAGGCATTCCCAACAGGCCCTTGCATTGGCTTAGCTCGCATGTCTGCCTCATGAGTTGGCCCTGCTAACATCCATGAGCTTGGGACGCTTGGGCAGTCAGATTTCTCTTCCCTTTACTAATACTGAATCGGCTTCAAACACTCCAGCAGTTCACAGACGAACAAGATAAAATTGGCCTTTAGTTTGCTTGCATTATCACATGCTAAGTTTGATTTTGATTTTTAAAAAATTTTAATTTTATTTTAGATATAGCTGGATACTTTCTTACCCATGTTAACATAAAAATAATATATGAGGGAAATGTACTAAACTTTATCTAAGGAAAAATTTCAATGTCAACATGCATAAATAACAGTAATGGATAATACAAAAATAAGACTACAAAGAATGTAATCATACATTCTGCAATGAAATAGCACCAGGGTTGTTATGAGTTGGAATAGGCTCGATGGCAGTGCATTGAGAAAATTTTAAATATTAACATAGGACTCCTAGTGGCGCTATCAGGTGCTGGACTGCTAATCACAAGGTCAATGGTTCTAACCCATCAATGGCTCCGAGAGATAAAGATGAGGCTGTTTGCTCCCCTAAAGATTTAAAGCCTTGGAAATTCTATATAGGGTCATTATGAGTTGGAATCAACACGATGACAATAGTGCTGATTATATTATATATCATATATACATATGTATATAGTAACATTGGAAAACGGAGGTCATTTTGGTGGTCGTTGGACTTTTGGTGAGACTCCTGGCTTAGGGGGTGTCCAATGAAAGGGGACTCAGAACATCATATGTTTAGTATCTCGATGCTCCCTTTGCATTAATATGACAGGATCTGCCCTTGTAAAGAATGTTACAGAAAAATTCCCCTAGCACCAACCCCCATGCTCAAGGTAAACAGAGCTCAATTAATAAATCAATCTGTACACAGAATCAAATCATGAATTGCAGCTTGTAGTTAGACTATATATGCATAAACTCCTCACATCAAGAGTACCTTAAATTCTATGCCATTAGATGAATTATTGATGTTATCAATGAAAGTGCATTATACCCCAGAGGGATGATTGACAATGTTTTTCTTTCTTTCTTTGAGGGGTGGGGTGATGGTTTTTGTTTTTTCTTGTTGTTCTTGTTGATTGTTGCTTTTGCTTTTGTTATAATGTATCCACTAAAGTAAACCATAGTTGATCATAATCCGTGGACAAGCAGATGGATTCTGGGCTCCCACTTAATTCTAGCCCCAATAAATCCCCATACAATTAGTTCTTATATCATGACCCTGCTTGCTACTCATTCACCTTCATGAAATGATCAATGAAGATAAGGGTGCTATAGCACACAGCAGTGAAGAAAGCAGATGGTTTCAATTGGAAAGTGAGGTCTTAAAGGCTTGTATGCAAACAAGCAGCCATCTAAGTGAGGCAACAACTAAGTCCACATGGATGAAGCGCACCAGCCTGTATGATCCAGAGATGATGATAACAAAATCCAAATGTGATGAAGGGAAAAGTATCACAGCTTAAATTGTGAACATTCAATTTGTAAAAGAGCAAGGAAGGCAGTGGGAACCCAAAATCCATCTGCAGAGTTCTCATGAGATTAAGCCTCTGGAAGATCCCCTCTGGTCACAGGCCAGGGACTAAAACAGTTTTACTATCAGACAGAGATTATATAGTAAACTCTTGATTATGATGGATCAAACTACTGTATAATATAGTACTGGATCGGCTGACCTTTCTCTTGACCCAACCTGAATTTGTTCTAGGCTTAAAAATTCCTCCCTTATCAGGTATCAAATGATCCAAAACAAACAACTATATTGAAGTGAATGAAGGAGGTTGGAGTGGAGAACCAAAGCCCATTTGTAGACAATTGGATATAGCCCCACAGAAGGGTTATAAGGAAGGGGTGATTCAACCAAGGTGCAGTATAGCACTGACCAATCACACATCATTCCTCTAGCTCCTGAATACTCCCGTGACCCCCGCCAACTACCACGACCCAGTTCTACCTTACAAACCTGGCTAGACTGGAGAACACTCATTGGTACACATAACACCTCTCAGCACATGGAATTCAGGAAAGATAACCCCTTCAGGAACAGTAGTGGAAGTAGCAATTTCATGAGGGTAGGGAGAGGGAAGGGTGAGAAAGGGGGAACCCATTACAAGATTTGACATATAGCCGACCCCCCGAACCCCCCCTCGCCGAAGGGGATGAATAACAGAAATGTGGGTAAAGGGAGACAATGGACAGTATGAGATATGAAATAATAACAATATAAAATTGATCAAGGATTCACAAGGGGGGAAGAGTGGGAGGGAGGGGGGAAAAAGGGAACTTATACCCAATACTCTATAAAATGTTTTGGAAATGATGATGACAACATATGTACAAGTATGCTTGATACAACTGATGCATGGAAAGTTATAAGAGCTGTAAGAGCCCCCAATAAAATGACTTAAAAATATTCCTTCCTTGTTCCATGACATAAATTTCTTCTTGGGCTTTTTAAATATTGCTGGTGGTCTTTTCTTTCTTCCTCTTTATATTATTTTTTTCTTCTTTCTGTTTTTTTTATTGTTTCTGTTAAGTTTCCCAGTTTATGATGTACAAAAGGAATGGATGGAGATAATAAATGATGCAATGGTTTATTGAGGAGGGGTGGGTTGGGGAAACTGGGGAGCCAAACAATGAATGCAGGAGTTGGGAGGGAGCAGTAGAACTGATTTTGATGATTCATATACAGCTCTTTTAAAAAAGATACTTAACTATGGAAGTGTGTGACATGTGAATTTTATATGAAAAACTACTTGAGAAGAAACCGGTGTTGATATTGGTTAAGGAGGAAGAGTTTTTGTTTAGGGGGCATTGAGTTTATGTTAATGGTGGTGGAATAATTTGGTAACGATATCAACAATGGCTGCACAACATGAAGAGTATAATCAATGACACTGATTTATACACGTTGAAGTTGTTAATTGGAGAATGCTTTGTTGTGTATATATTTGCCACAAAATTACACGAATAGGAAACAAAAACAACCTGAGCTCATTCTTAAGAACATCAGAGAAGAATCCCGTGATATTTTAGAAACATACAGAGCAGTGATTACTGTCCTGGAGGGACAAGTTTGAGAAGTAAGCCTTTCACCCTGTATCCTTTTATGCCCCCACCAATTAATGAGTTTTTTTAATATTAAAATACAAAAAGTGAGAGAAAAATCAGCTTTCCTGTTTGATAAGAGTAGAGTTGTTGCGTGTTTGAGTGTTGTTGTTGCTTTCCTTAAGAAGGTGGGTGAAATTGTCCTGGGTCAAGCAGATCTGTCTCCCACCATTCGTTAATGTGCACTCTTCTGCCCTGCCTTTAGGAAGTCACAGAGAGACTTCCTTTTAAAAAAAATCATTTTATTGGGGGCTCGTACAACTCTTATCACAATCCATCCATACATCCATTGTGTCAAGCACATTTGTATATTTGTTGCCATCATCATTCTCAAAACATTTGCTTTCT